CAGCCCGGTGACCCCGGGGTGCGGGGGCGGGGCCTCTTCCTCTCTGTTTCCACCGCAGGTTTTGCAAAAATTGGGCAAAACGGTGGAAACCAAAGATGAGCAGTTCGAGCAGAGCGCCTACAACTTCCACCTGCAGCAGGTGACAGGGGACAGGGGGACAACAGGGACAGAGGGGACAGAGGGGACAGAGGGACAGGGGGACAGGGGGACAGAGGGGACAGAGGGACAACGGGGACAGAGGGACAGCAGGAGGGACAGAGGGACAGCGGGGACACTGAGGGGACAATGGGGACAGAGGGACAGGGACAGAGGGAGAGAGGGACAGCGGGACAGAGGGACAGAGGGGACAGAGGGGATTATGGCGACAGAGGGGACAGAGGAACAGAGGGACAACGGGGACAGGGACAGAGGGACGGGGGGATAATGGGGACAGAGGGACAGAGGGACAGAGGGACAGAGGGGACAGAGGGACAGCGGGACAGTGGGACAGAGGGGACAGAGGGTCAGAGGGGCAGAGGGACAAAGGGACAGAGGGGACAGCGGGGACAGCGGGACAGAGGGGACAGAGAGACAGAGGGGACAGAGGGACAGAGAGGACAGTGGGGACAGTGGGGCAGAGGGGACAGAGGGACAGAGGGACAGAGGGGACAGTGGGGACAGTGGGGCAGAGGGGACAGAGGGACTGAGGGACAGAGGGGACAGTGGGGACAGTGGGCTTAGAGGGGACAGAGGGCACCGAGGGGATTATGGGGACAGAGGGACAAAGGAACAGAGGGGACAGAGGGGACGGAGGGACAGAGGGACAGAGGGGACAGAGGGACAAAGGACAGAGGGGGCACTGAGGGGACAGCGGGGACCGAGGGGACAGCGGGACAGAAGGACAGAGGGGATAATGGGGACAGCAGGGACAAAGGAACGGAGGGGACAGGGGACAGAGGGACAAAGGGAACACCCCTGACCCCTCCCCCCGCCCCGTTTTGCAGAACGAGGGTCACAAACTCTACAAGGAGCTCAAGGGGTTCGTGGGAGCCGTGAGAGGTGAGAGGGGACCCCGAATGTCCCCGGGCTGGGGACAGCGGGGACAGCGAGGGGCGGGGGGGGACCCGGGAAAATTAATGAGGAAA